TTCGTGATCCAGCCTCACCGACAGAAGAAGCGAGTATAAGTTTTTTTATGAATCTTAGCAAATAGCCTTTCCTAATATGCTAGTTAGCAAGTTTCACGATGAATGCAGCTAAAGTTAACAGTCGTCGTCTTCTTCTTCTTCGTTTTATTGGCGGTCGGCATCCAACGATAAGGTGCATTACCGCCACCTACGATACTGGAGTGTGGGCCTGAGTCAACTACCACCAAGATAAAAAAAAACAAATCTTAAATTCTGTTAATTAAGCCAGTTCTTCTCAGGTAATTTATTAAACTTTCATTATTCTAACCATTAAGTATGTCTTTAATGCTAACGTTAAAATTTAAATTGGGTAGAAATTGTTTCCTAATTTCTTTCTTTAATATTTCTCTTTCTGTGATGTACTTTTGGCAGTGACACAGAATGTGTTCCACTGATTCCTCATCCTGACAATGATCACATAAGCCAATCGGATGTTTCCCTATTAGATATCATGTTTTATTTAACCCTGTGTGTCCCATTCTCAATCATGTAATTATACCTTCTGTTTTGTTATTTCCTTTTCATACCCTCCTACTTCCTACTTTCTCCTGGATTCTATAGTAATGTCTGCCTGTTACTTCCCTATCCCAGTTACATTGCCATTCCTTTATTATACTATTCTTAATTATTACTTTTGCTTCCGATTTACTATATAGGATTTCCATAGCCTCATCTAGCTTACATGCCTCCTTGGCTAAAACATCTGCAACTTCGTTCCCTTTAATTCCTATGTGTGCTGGAATCCACATGAATGCTATTGTCAAATTTACTCTCTGAAGTCTAAATAAAATGTCATATATTTCATATATGCAATCCTGCCGGTTATTTGATGATATCGACTTAATTGAAATAAATGCTGAACTGGAGTCTGAACATATAATTAATTCATACCATTTTCCTCTATCCAGTACAGGGCAGCTATTATAGCCATCAACACTACTGTATATATTGCCAGGTGATCTGTAGTTCTTCTCTTCATTGAAATTCCTAATTCTAGGAATTCTACAGTGGAGTAAAAGTACCGATACATCACTTAAAATGTACTCAAGTAAAAGTAAAAGTACACAATTTTGAAACTACTCAAAAAAGTACAATTACTGACAAAAACTTAATTACTATAACGTGAGTATTTGTATTTGTTCATACCCCTGTCTTTTAGTGTATACAAAGCGCAATTACCCCTGATGACAGAAACAAAATAGAAATCTACATTACATTTTCAAATGTACTACAAAAATAATACAAAAACAAGCACAGCTTTTCCGGGCTTATAATTTATTTCCAATAAATTAACAATTACTTTTATGTTCACAAGTTAACATGTGTTTGTATATTAACATAAATATGTCTAAACATACTGTGACGAGTGGGGGCGGGGCCGAGAGCCGTGGGAACAGAGCGAGGCCGGTGGAGTAATTGATAATGAGCGACACCTGCACCACTCACAGGTCTCGAGTCCCACGGAGGAGCTCCGGAAGAATAAAAGGAGGCGCTACGACTGTGAAAGACAAGAGAGGACCAGGCCAATGTAACAAAGTTCATAGTCACGGGAAGAAGGAGGCGGGAACCGGCGAACGTTCAAAGAAAACTTTAATAACGAAATAAACACAAAATAGCACGACAGCCCCTCGCGGACGACTATCGCGCACAAACAGAACCAAAACACAAAATAAAGTCCAGGCCTGGTCCTCTCTCATCTTTCACTGTCGTAACTCCTCCTTTTATCCTTCCGGAGCTCCTCCGTGGGACTCTCGGCCCCGCCCCCACTCGTCACACATACAATATATAAATTGTTTTATTCTATGTGTTGAGCTGAGGGTGGTAAAATGTCAATAATAAAAGTTAATTATTGAGCAAGAACTCTTACACATTACAAATAAGAATTCAGTAAATAAGTGAATGTTACAAAACTGTGGGAAATATTCCCTTTAAACTAGTTGAATCCTTCATACATCCTTCACTGTACATTCAAGTTAGGTGGTTGCTTATTTCTATATATATTTTGACGCTATGGGAAACAAATAACAAAACAAGTAAACTACATAAAAACATGTTATAAATAAATAACATACAAAATTATTTCATCATGTTGCTTTCACTGGGTTTACTAACATTTTACTCTACATTGTCTGGCAGACATGTCTGTCAGAATAAACTGGTAGCCAAGAATACTTATAGTACGTACAGTTGGGATTACAGATTTGAGGCCTAGGGTGTATCCCCATAGTGACTCACGGTCAATAATTCTGAAGAAGCAGGAGATGTTTTGAGATTGATAGCCTGACCGCAGCTCTGCACGGTCATTGAATGGTATTGCCATCTCAGTGTAGTGGCGGGTAAAGGTACTGGGATCCTGCAGAGGAACAAAGGTACTGAACTGCTGGGGTAAGTAGCTTGTCTCTCCTGCATCAAACTTGAAAGATGCCACTCCATACTTGTTCTTGAGGGTGCGAAGATTCAAGGCATACCAGTCCCGAGCTGGCTACCAGGCACTCGTATAAACAGTCCTCGTTCTATTCCAATACCAAAATTGACAGAATTATAGTTGGCAAATGGATGAGTCCACAAGGTTACCTGGAATCCATCTTCCCTTAGTTTTTGAAACATGGCTGAGGCGTTGAGGAACTTGATGGGATCTAACTCAAACTCTCCATAGCCACTAGTATATCTGTCGTACAGCTCCAGGTGGCTGCAGTTGAAGCCATTTTTTGGATATCAGATGCATATTTCAATGTTCGTTCTTGGTTCACTTCTTCTAGAGCTCTTGTAGACCAGACTGGTTATCTGAAAACAGCTTCTGAAGGAACCTTATTGGGCTTGTTGAAATATCGACGTACCATGTACTTGTGTATAGCGGTGACGTCTAGCCCCACACATACACGATAACTCAGAGTCACATGATGGTGATTATCAGGGTCTGGCCTATAAGTGCTGTCATTATATCGAGCTTGGAACCACAGAGTTCTGTTTGTTTCATCCCAGCCGAGGTGAAAAGGAACAGAATCATTCATTTTTATGGCCGTAGCATTGGAAGAAAGCCAGTAGCGCTCCAAGATGCCACCAAATGCCTGATGATTTGAATGAATAGCACCTGTAACGAAAGGTTTGGGAGCCTGATGTCCTTTTAATACTATTGGCCAATGCTGCAACCAAGTCTCCGCACCACCGTACCAGTGTGATCCACTGCAGGACATGGCATGCTCCACCAACCGATGCTCCTCCAGCTCGTCCCAGCGCACACGATAGATTTCTATGAAGAAATGTATATTTCCAGCCATGGATTTATCACATCAGAAAATCTGTCCCTCTTTTGAACATGAGTCCAGATCAAGGGTTCCAGACCTAAAATGCACAATTAAAAACAATGTGACTTCTAATAATAATTATGTAAATACAAGTGTAAATATGATATTTAAACAAAATACAAGTGTATTTAAACAAAATACCTGAATTTCATTTTGAAAATGACAACCCCAGTTTGGCTTCGGATGACAAAACCGTCTTTGTTAAGATCTAAGCGTTCAGTTGTCAAAAGGTTGGCTTTGTGGAGAGAAGAGGAGTAGTAGCACCATGCTACGATCGCAGCAAGAACCAGTAAAACTCAGAGCACGCTTGCTATTATCACTGGACGGCTTGGTCTACCAAATCTCTTCCTCTTAGGTGGTGAATAACGGCTCATGGCACCAATGCCAACATCTCCAACAGTTGCTGATACAATCTGGTACATCTTCACAACACTCTTATGCACACAGCCTTCTGTAAAATGTTTCTAACTTATGAGCAGAAAGCAGACTGTTTTAGGTGTACTGCACATGGGCTGCACATGGTGGAAGTAGCAGCTGGCCAGGACAACTTGACAATTTTGCCATGCCTAGACATATTGAGACAATTTAAAATGAATAATATGTAAAAATATGCAATACTTTTTTCATGCAAACAAATGTTTGGATGTGATATAATATGACTCCCAAGATAAAACAACACCCAGTATTTATTCTTAAAGGGTTAGTTAGCCTTTTACTCATCTCTTAACTCATTCCAAACCTGTATGACTTTCTTTCTTCTGTGGAACTAAATAAATAAATCTGAGAAAATTCTGAGAAATGTCTTATTGTCTTTTCGTCCATACAATGAATGTCAGTGGTAACGAAAATACGGTTACCAACATGCTTCAAATGATCTTCTGTGTTCTGCAAGAGGAAAATAAAATGCCATACAGGTTTGGAAGTACAAAATTGTACTTTTTGGGTGAACTATCTCTTATAGATTTGTGATACACTGAATGGGGGAAATCTACAATTTTAAACATCTGTGACTGAGACACAAAAGCTGATTCAAGCTATTGCTGCAGCTGACAGCAGCTGAACAGTCCTCTAGGCATGTATTGAACATGGAGTTTCCAGTACAGTGTTGTGATGTTTTGTAACAGGCACACTCTATTGATTTGATGCACATTTGTGACAGAATAAATGCATCTGCTATAATTTTAACAAATTGTCATGTGTTATTGTGAAAACTACTAGTTTTAGTAGTTATATACAGTTTAGCAGTTTAACAGATTCATCCTCAGCACCAATCACCGACAGAGAAATGTCACTTAAGGGGGGGGAATAGTAGTATTAGTTAGCGTTTAGAATGTTTAAGTATTTTCTATCATTTCGAAAAAGGTTTCAACCAGGTTTTGTATGTTTCATAACACACTTATTCCACTAGATGGCAGTAAATTATAAGATTAAAAAAAAACACATTTTATATTGATTTTTCTTAATGTAAAAAATAACGACAGCTTCACTTGTATTTTTAGAAGCATTGATGAGAGACTGCATGAGGTTAATAATTGAGTGTATGTTTATAGTATTGTGATTCTGATGGGAATCTACAAGAAATGACAAAGACATTTTTATTTTAAAAAGATTAATAAAGTTTAATATTTTAAAAGATTAATAAATGAAACACTGTGAGTGAGAATGTATACAACCCATGACCTGAACTTTGTCATTAGTCCAAACCTGTTTTCACCCTGGACACTGATCAGTGTAAAAACAAACAAGAAAAGTTCACCTCAGCAAATAGAAATCGGAAATTTTTGCTACCTAGCAGCATGCTGCTAAGCAATGTCAACACATTACAAAAATTAAAACTATTTTCTGATGTTTTCTAATACACAAAAATAAGACAATCCCCAAGCTTTCTCAATGATTCAAAAACACCAGGCTATATAAAAAACTAGACACATCATACCACCTATAAAAGAACAATGAAGCGTGTGTCTTTCCATGTAGTCGTGCATGGGCAGACTCTGCAGAACACTGTTGAGTCTAGGTAACAAATGTTCTTTTCTCTCTCCCAGTCTCCCCGTCCCCAGTGACACACAAATAAAAACAAACACATATCAGCATTCCTGGGCCTCGCTCAGTACTCAATTTCATTAAAATTTTCAGAAAATCCTGAGTATGAGATGCTGTCTCCAGGATCTAGAGAAAGAGAGAAAAAGAGAGTTATAAAAAGTATAAGCACATGTACAAATACATCCCCTGTGTCTTACAGGGTGCCATATTACTGCTGCCTCAGTAAACACATTCGGATAACTATAGTAACAGTATGTGATCCGTCCAAAGACAAATCCCAGTGAGAACTGCAGTAAAGAAAGCACCTGCTCCCCCCACCTGCTGTTACTGCACTGTAGATCATTTACTCATCCTCATGTCGTTCAAAACCTGTATGAGTTTCATTCTTATGTTAACATAAAATAAGATATTTTGAAGAATGCTGGTAATCAAACAGTTGATGGTCCCCATTTCCCTATTATGGAAGTCAATGGTGACTAACAACTGTTTGGTTCTTCAAAATTCTTCAAAATATCTTCTTTTGTGCTCAACATAAGAAAGAAACCTAAACACGCTTGGAGTGAAATGAGGGTGAGTAAATGATGACAAAATTTTCATTTTTGGGTGAACTGTCCCTTTAAAATATCAGATATTTTGAGTTTTTTATGATGCCATTGCAGTCATTAAAAACTTTTACTCTGAAAAATATATTTAAAACTATTTTAAATATATATTTTTTAAAAATGCATTGTCATAAACTGTTCACTCACCATTGCACGGACCCTTTTTAAACACAATTTCATCGATCGCAATGTCACTCCTTATTGAGGATCCTCTGATACCTTCAAATATAATCTGCAAACAATTAGGGAGACATAAACCTTTCAGTGACTTTTTACATGCAAAAACGCAACACAGTAATATTCACAGCAACGCTCCATCAGTTTCCTGGTACCTCAAGTACCATTATCTCAGCGATCAAATGGTTACTTTGATATAAGATGCATTTCAAAGGCATTTTTCAGCAACAAAGAGAGTAAGAGTGTGTCTCTAACCCAGTGCCTTGTGTAACACTCGTAATCCACCGTGGCCTTCATCCAGGACACACTTTGTTCTCCTTGTCTTGTCCAAAGCAATCTCTCCCTGTCCCCCTTATGCAGCAGGACGCTTAGAGTTCCTGTGCCTGAGCCATACATGTGGTAGAAGAAGATCAGACACTGAGGTCCAGATGAACCCCTCAGCTCGGTGGACATGAGCCGGGCCGACTGCTTGGGTAACATGTGAGACGCCTCAATGTACATGTAGTAGCCTTGAATCAGAGCAGGAAAGACTTAGAATACACTGTCTCATTACATCAGCAATGTTAATAAAGCATTTCATGCTGAAGCATAAATTTGACTCACCTACCCCTAAGGTGTGGTCACCCTTGGGTCCTGTGTAAGACGTGGGTGTATGTCCCCTGATCCGTAACCAATGTCCTTTTTTAGCTTTCTTTTTCTGGGTATAGCCGCAGTCCCCAGTTTCAAAGTTACAATGTCCAGGAGGTGGATTCAAGGGGCCTAAACAGTGCACAAAAAGTTCCACCATATTAGGCTTTGAAATGGTTAAAAGCTTGTCTATTTCTGTCCACCGCAGCCGGCACTGCCCATTTAATGTCTATGTTTGTGAGGGCAGATGTTCTCCATTGCCATGGAATATATCTATGTCTATAAACAGAATATTTAAGAACCTTAGACAAGGGCCTTGCCCATTTCCTAAACCACATTGTTTAGAACTGACAAGAAACCTCTGCCAAGCAACCTGTAAGTAATACGGTTTACTCTTTATTAGAACAATCAACTGCTTAAATCTTTTAAGTCATGGGTTTTACTCCCATAAAAGCAACACAACTGGGTCAAGCACTGTGTTATCGTTTGGACAATTCTAAATATGGGGACAGTTTTAGACAAGCCCATGAAAGTCAGAGAAACAAATACCTATCCAAGCAAAACATTTCTTCGTGCTTATTTGAATAGAAAAGCACACATAATATTTTAGTTGTTCTCCATTTAAATGAGCATCTGGAAATATGCACACAATAAATTAATTTATCAACTAATCCAACAAAATTCAGACAGTGAATGTTTCTTATAGCTCCTCTATGATAAAACCACTGCCCTTTGAGTGTGAGTTTTAGTATAGTGTTCAACTGATTTTTATTTCAGTTTCGTTTTAGTGATTTTAGTACTTAGTTAGAACTTCAGTTAAAACTTGTTTTATTTCATTTAGTTGCAAAGGCAAACATTTTAAATGTTCATATTTTAATATTTATATTTTATTTTATTTAAGGTTTTTATAAATTAGCGAAAACATTTATATATATATATATATATATATATATATATATATAGTTTTAGGTAGATCATATTTATACATTCAGATCATAAAGTTCCGTCATCTTACGAATCCAGGAATTTGCTTCTCTCAACAAAAAAATAAAAAATAAAAAATCATATGTTCTTTATCAACATTAATTTATATTTTACTTTTAGGACTATAATATCACTATACTCCCCTGATAATATAGTCCTAAAAGTAAAATATAAATTAATATTTGTATGTACATACAGATAGATAGTGCCCCATTTCAATAGTTTATGCAGTTTGATTGTTTACTTTCTTACTGCGGTGAAGCAGCCATGAAACTTCATGTGAAGAATTTCAAAGATTTCTGTGATACAAGCCTCCATTGTACTAAAAATACACACAGTACCACACAGTGTTTCCATATGGCACTTGACTTGGCAGTAGTCAAAAAGGATTTCCAAAATGCCTTTTGAAATCATTTCTGCTTTTAAATTCAGAGATGTGGATGTGGACAGTACCACATGATCCTGGTGTTTGTTAAAAACAGCAAGTGATTCAGCCAGGAATTGGCTGGTGGGAGCAAAATGCCAATAAAGCACCCTGTAATAAACTTACATAACCATGTAACACAATTACCATCTGAATAGGGCTTTTTCTCATTGTCAAAAGGGCAGAAGTACCTGTAGTAACCCGACAGTCACCAAGGGTCACTGAGATGTCATCGAGAGACACAAGCCCACAGTCCCAGAAGTTTCTGCAGATGCTGACAAATGCTACCTTAAAGGGAAGTTAAGATAAAAAAGTCCATAATGACAAATAGTTAAAATAGGGAAGAACATGGTCTAGTATGTTATAATTTTACCCAAAAACAAAACAATAAGGTCTATTAAACATTAATTAAAAGTTATTTTAAAAGACTATACAAATAACCCATGTAATTTGTCCTCAACATTTACAGTACAGACCTCAGTTTAAAAATCTTTGATTTTTTTTGTGGTTTTTCTCATATATGACTTTGACATTTTGAGGAGGCACAAAATATTCGACAAATGGAAATGCTGTTAATGGGGTTTTGATGTGGTTTGCCTGTAGACAGACACTCCCTTCAAAAGAGTCTTGCGCTTCACTTACTATCCCTGAGATTACAAAAGGAATTCACACACGGGGTGACCCAAAGTTCAATGAAAGATTTGTTACAGCTTATCATTTGGAAATGACAAGAAAATACTTTACTAAAACAAAACAGTATTAAAACTGAATTTGTGCTTATCATTCAGGACAATATCCTTCTATCACCTATAATCTGAAGAACACTTAAACCTTCATGGTTTAACTGTGTTCTATTTGAATATATTTTAAATATAAAAATATATTTATTATATTAAATATATTTATATACTTAATATTTAAATATAAATGTATTTTAAATACTGTATTTAATATATTTTTTAAATGATTTTTTTGCTGAGATGGCAAAGGTGAATTTTCTGCAACCATTACTCCAGTCTTCAGTGTCACATGATCCTTCAGAAATCACTCTAATTTGATGTTCAAAAAACATTTATTATCAATGTTAAAAAAACAGTTCTGCTGATTAATATTTTTGTGGAAATCATATTTTTTTCAGGATTCTTTGATAAACAGAAAGTTCAAAAGAACAGCATGTATTTGAAATATTGTGTATAAATATAAAAGTCTTTACTGACATGTTTGATCAATTTAATGCATCCTTGCTGAATAAAAGTACTAATTTATTTATTTATTTTAAATCTTCCTGACCCCAAACCTTTAAAGGGTGGTGTACACAAAAACAAAGTCATAAAAAACAATGTTACTCTACTGAATAGTGAAATAAATTAATATTAGCCATTATAATGCACACAACCCAGTCTTGAAGAAACTCATATTTAACAACAATCCATTCATTTTACACTTACCTTAGCAGGCATGGGCTTTAGGTATGTGACTTCCACCTCTGTCCAAACATCTTTAGACCTCTCAGACACAGTCCAGATTTTCTCCTGAGCTATGTTGTTTTCATCATAGACATAGAGAGCCAGAGCATTATCTATTTTCATGAAGCCATGCAGGGCATAGTAGAACCTGAGGCAGTATTTATGGTTCCCTGGTAGGGACGGTCCAAAAAGATGACCCACATACCCTGGACGAGAGGTATGACGAGTGTTGGCCAAGAGAAAAGACCCTGTGAATGTAATGGACATGAAAGCTTTATAAATCATAAATAATCAGTGAAATAAATGATAATTTTATGAATGTTATCTTATTTTGTAACTTTTTTGTTCCTTAAGTTTTCCTCTTTTATCATATTAAAGGAATAGTTAACTCAAAAATTAAAAGTTGCTGAAAATTTTGTCATCCTCATGTATATGAATTTGTTTCTTCTTCAGAACAGATTTGGACAACTTTAGCTTGCTCAGTAATCGATCCTCTGCAG